GGTCTTGTCTGCAAATTAGTACCCCTTCTGTTCGGTTTGCATGAACACGGAGTCTGGGTGCTGTTCCGATGATTCGGCAAGCATGTATGAATGGATTGGTTGTCGTACTGCCTGCCACCTACATGCCCACCCGAGCCCTTCTCATCTCCCCTTACCCCTTACCCCTAACCGCCCCGGTCGTGTCCCTTTGTGTCCTTTTCACGCCGAACAGCCCTCGCCACGGGCCCCTCCCGCCCGCCTTTCGCAAACCGCGTGTAACGTTAGTACAACTGTCCACTCTCCCGCTTAATCACCCCCCCTCCATACCTATCCGCTCCCCCCATTTCGATTTACCACACACACACACACACACACACAGACGACCTTAATGATCCCTCCCTCCCACCGCCTTACCCTCCCTGCCCCCTCTGCCTCATACCGGTCTATACGTATAATGCCTTCTCTTCCCCCGCCTTCTCTCCTCCCGCTCGTTCGTGGTTCGTCCTCCCCGCCGCCCCTCAGGTTCGCGTGGGCTCCCTGTCCGACCCGGATGCCCTCCCTGGCCTAGCGCACTTCACGGAACACATGCTCTTTTATTCGTCGGAGAAGTACCCCATGGAGGTACGGCATGATGAAGGGCCGAATGTAGGATTGATGTACGGATATCGTACACGTGCTGCTATGCGCCTGGCTGATGGCGTGACCAACGGCCTCTGTTCAGCCTCCGTACGAAACTCCCCAACCCCCCACGGGCCACACATTCACATACACATACGGCACTGTATGCACGTTCTGCATATGGCCCCGCCTCCCCCCGCGCCGAGGCCGGTGTGTGTGCGCTGGCCTACCCTACCCTACCCTACCCCGCCCCGCCCTTGCCCTTCCCCTGCTTCATGCATACCCCAGCACACCACACCGCAACACAGCACAGCACACCGCACAATGACCCTCTCCCCCCGTGGGTCATTGCGGTGCGACATACATACTCACCGGGCAGTGTGCAGAGCTGTGGAGCTCTGTGCCCCGCCCCCTTAATGGCGTGGTACTCGTGCCATTGGCGGGGAGCTGGCGCAGGGGGATGTGCCGCCCCACAGTGCCACAGCCCCTCATTCCGCGGTAGAGCTAGCAGCCGCACCCGCACCATATGATAGAGTGGCGCTAAGGGGGCTCCCGGGCCCCTACCTCTGGCTCGTGTATGGGTGCACTCGTTACACCTCTCTACCTGGGTAACGCAACCTGGAGGTGTAATACACACATACATTCACCGCAACCCCCATTAGGCATTATCGTAGGGCCTTATCCTCATGTCTGCACTCAGTCGATGTCTCCAGGGAACCTCTTTGTCCCCCCCTCCTGCGGTACCCCGCGGCCTCTCCCCCTCGTCCTAGGGGGGGGGGAAAGAAGTGTTGTGTTTTGGACGTTGGCGGTTGTTGCGGTTGTTGTTCCTTTACTTTTGCATCACCGAATATATATGTATATATACATATATATGTACATAAATGCATATACCCCTCCCATTTTTTCGCCCCAAAACACACATCCCCCCACACACCCACACCAGGACGAGTACACCAAGTTCATATCGGACCGAGGGGGGTCCACCAACGCCTACACCGCCGCTGAGCACACCAACTATCATGTGAGTGTCAGTTACGGCAGGTTGCGTACTCGGAGGGTACGACAATACGGGCAGTCACCATTTGCACGGTACATATCGGTGTGCGTGTCGAGAGCGTGTGTGTGTTGTGTGTGTGTGTGTGTGTGTGTGCTTTGGAAGGTGTATGCGTGGGACAGCGTTGTGATGATCTGCGATTTGGGGATGTATCTTGTGAATTTTTGCATGTTTTTTTGTGTGTTCATATTACAGACTAAAAGTTGATGCGAAAGCGCACTCGACCCCATCATCCCCCACCTGCCCTTCCATCCGCTCACTGAGACACCCCAAAACACGCTCCGAAGTCACCCACCCACCCACCCTCTCGCTGTCGCAGTTTGACATTAATTGGGAGTCCCTGGGAGGTGCTCTGGACCGATTTGCGCAGTTTTTCATTGCACCCACCATCAGCAGGGATGGCATCGAGCGGGAGGTGGGTAAGCGGGTGGGTGGGTGGGTGGGGCTATGTGTGCATGTGGTCCGGTCAGCTCGGGTCGTGGGAAGTGGGTGGAGGGGGAGAGAGGGGGGTACCGACCGACCGGGGGGGGGGGGGCTCGACTGCCTGCCAATCCTTTACCCGCCGTTTTTTCGTTGAGTTGATTTTAGTGGTACGGCTACAGCCTTGTTGCCGTGTCGTGGTGTCTTTTGTTTTCCTTCTGCTGCTGCTGCTGGGTGTGTGCGCTGTGAGAGGGGCTCAGAGGCAAAGAAAAGCAGAATTCTGTGTCATTCTCGCCTCCCGTCATTGTTTGGTCGTTTCGAACCTGATATCCCTAGGGATGGGGTGGGGGTTGGGGGGTGCTTCCGAAAGCCGCTCTCTTGACGCCCCAGCCCCAGCCTCGTTCTTAGGAAGCTGAATCCCCACGCACTAACACACTAACACACACATACTAATACACACATACCAGCACACCACACGGTATGGGTACACGGTACAAGGTATAGGTATAGCCTGCCTGCGCTAGGATGTAGAGGGTCAAGGCGGCCCGGGTGGGCTGGTGGCCTTCAAACGGTGGGTTGGGGGGTGGGCTATGGGATATATCCCGCCTGCGCTTGGTGATGGGAACTGCGGGTGAGCTAGTGCCGATAGTGGCGAGCTGCTGCCTGTGCGCGGTCTGTTGGGGAGAGCTGGCTGCCCCCGTGCGCTAGGAGTGGAGTGGAGTGGGGGCTACAGCTTAGCAGCACTGCGATGAGGACTGGGGGGGACTGCGGCCTCCGGGCCTCCGGAGGGCTGTGTGGATGGATGTGAGGGGACAGTGTGTGGATGGACAACACGCCCCTCCGCAACGGGAGCGGAGTGCCTTCGGCGGTCCCCCTGATGGGTACGGTTAGGTGCCCCAGCTCCAGCCCCAGCCCTAGGGGCAGATATGTACCAAAGACACACTAACACTAACACACCCTAGCGCACATATGCACATTACTACCCCCGTTTTCGGTTTTTGCTGTTTGTTCGGTTTGTAAGCTCCTTTTCAGGATACAAATAATCCCCGCGCATAACTAACCGGAATCTTCCCTCTCGTATTCCGGTTTGCAGTACAGTTCCTAGGCGTGTGTGCAACCTTTGCGCGCACACGCACGTACACACACACACACCTGCACTCCCCCCATTCCCCCCTCACCCACCCACCGACCAGGTCAAGGCGGTGGACTCCGAGCACGGCAAGAACCTGCAGTCTGATGCCTGGCGCAAGTCCCAGGTCAGCCGGGCCACTGCCAACCCAGCTCACCCCTGGGCGAGATTCTCTTCAGGTGGGGGGTGGGTGGGTGGGTGGTTTTTTGATGCATGTGACCCAAACCCCTAGACCGTTGTTTACATGCCACGTGGTCCTCGCCTTCCCAATTCCGCCACCTCCGCACTGCCAGGGGGGGTTGCCCCTCTTGTGCGGCCTCCGGCAGTTATTTTGTTGGTGGTTGGGGTGGTTGGGACGGGCAGGGGACGTGTTTGGCTTTTGCCGTATCATTCCCCGCTTGCCCCCCCCCTCCCTGATGTGCACTTTTCATTTGTTCGTTGCATGTAACCTTACCCCCCAAAACAACCTGCAATGCCAAACCTCTAACCCCTGCCTGCAGGTAACTACGACACGCTATACACCGGGCCCCTGGCTGCCGGTATCGACCCACGGGACGCTGTGGTGGACTTTTACAACCGCCACTACTCGGCCGACCGTTGTGCACTTGCCGTACTGGGCCGGCAGTCGTTGGACGAGCTGGAGGGCATGGTGGGTGGGTGGGGGACAGGGTTGGGGTGGTGGGGGGTGGGAGCTGTTATTCAATAGAACAGGTTGCGGGGTGAGGGTTGGGACCACCTACTCACTACCGGGCGTTAGTTCCCTAACACTGAGCCCCCGAAGTAAAGAGGGGACCCTTCCGCCGCTTTCCATCACCACCACCAACACCACCAACAACAACAATTGGAACTCCCCACCCCCCGACCCCTCGACCCCGCCGGTCGCAGGTTCGTGCCATGTTTTCGGACGTACCCAACAAGCAGCTACCTCGGCCTACGTTTGGAGGTGAGGGGGGGTGTTGGGGGGGGGGGAAAGAGAGGGGGAGGGGGTACTTAAATAACTTATTTACGAGCTGAAACCCCTGATGAGCTCATGTTAGCCCGGGTGAGCTGGTGGTGGTGCCTCTACAGGTTGAGGAACAAACACGAGCCCAACCAGCTGATGCCCGCTGCTGTTCGCCCGGGTCAGGTCGTGCGGGCGCCGACACACACACACACACACACCCTTGCCAACAGGCCCCTACCCCTGCCCCGCCTCCCCCTCCCTTCCCCTCAGTTGACGTATTCTTGCCCAACCAGATGGGTGTCCTGATCAGGATCGTTCCAGTGAGGGAGGGCCAGAGCCTGGAGCTGGTGTGGCAGGTGAAGGGGGTGGGGGAGACAAAGGGGGTACGAAGGTGTGTGTGGGGGGGGGGCAGGGGGGTCATACCCTCAACCTCAACACGCCGGGGGGCGTTACTCCCATTGTCAATACAAGAGCTATAGAGCGACTACCAGGGGCCGGTACTGGGGGGGGGCTTAGTTGTACTGCAAATTGGCAAAAATATCATGAGGCGGTGAGTGTGTTAGATGTGTGTGTGTGTGAGAGAGTGGGGATGAATCACATGCGAAGCGCAAAGAGTCAACTGCCGAGTGCAGGGGTTCGGAATAGGGGGAGGGAGGGGTTGAGGTCGCCCCGTATGTCGCCCACACCGGCGGCGTCGGGACTTGTGTGTATGTTCCCCCTCTTCGCCGCCTCTACACCAGAATTCACGTTTTTACGGCTTCGTGCTGCTACTTTACTTCCGCTCTTACTTTAGCCTTGGCGGCTAGGTAGGTAGGTAGGTTTCCGCGGTCGTCATTATTACGTCATCCCGAGGTCGCCGCCTTCAAGAACGCCTACTGCTCAGTTCTGCTTCTTGTACACTCTTTCCTTGGCAGCAGCTTCACTCGTTCATGGTTCGTCTTTTCCCCTCCCCTCCTTCCCCGCTCCCCCCTCCAAACCCTACATACATACACATACACACATACACGCACATCCAGGTTCAGCCCTCGGAGCGTCTCTACCGGGAGCAGCCTCTGGGCTACCTGAGCCACCTCCTGGGGCATGAAGGTACGACATGACGTCAGTTGGTGGTTGGTTGGATCTCGGTGCGGTCCTCCTGGCGACTTAATGCGGTTGCTGAGGTAGCTGAGTGCGGGAGGGAAGATGTGTGGGTGGGGGGGGGATGTGCGTGTGTGTATATGTGTATGTGTGTATGTGTATGTGTATGTGTGTATGTGTATGTGTGTTATTGAACTGAGCCGCAAGTCGGCGGTACGAGGGTGGGACAAGGAGAAGGGAGTGGTGGTTGAAGTGTGTGGATCAATCATCGTGTGGATGAGGTTGATCACGAGGCTGGAGAGGGGAGGGCTCCAGAGCAGCGAGCGGCGGACTGACTGGCGACAAGGCCCGGCCCGGCCTTCCTGTTTACTCATTTCCCCTTCCTTCCCCTTCTTTCTCTTCCTCGGCCCCCCGTCCCCCCCTATTTCCCCCCCCCCAACACACACACACCACCACCACCACCACCTGCCCCTCAGGCGAGGGCAGTGTGTTTGCGCTGCTCAAGGCTGCAGGTTGGGCCAGTGCGCTGTGGGCGGGGGAGAGCGGGGGGGGCATGTCCTTCACCAGCTTCTTCACGGTGAGTGGGAGGAGGGGGGGGACCCTAGGGGGGGCAGCTAGGGGGGGTGTGCTGGGTTAGCTCATCACTGAGGCAGTCTAAGAACCAACCGGTGCGGCTCCAGCGCCCGGGAAGGGTTTCAGATGCAGGAGGGAATCGGGGCGGGTGGTTGTTTGCGCCTTGGCGTGTGCGTGTGTGTATGTTTGGGTGTACGGAGTTGTACGGGGGAAGGCGGTGGTGGTGGTCCACCCAGTGTGTGCGTATAACCCAACCCCTTCACCTCCACCACCCGACCATCTCCCAATCCGCCAACCATCAACGGTGCACCGTACCGGGGTCGGTAGTTTCCCCCGTCCTCCCAACCCCAAACCCCTTCAACATCACCCAAACACACACGCGAGCCTGTGGGTGTGTGCGTACGTGCACGCACGTGACACGGTAGACGGCATGGCAGCCGGGCGGCACTCATCTTGGGCCCCGCTGTGCTGTGTTCCTGCACAACTACGCCGTTGTCGTACACCGTACTGACATGTCGTACAGGTTCACGTGGACCTCACTGAGGAGGGGCAGCGTCACATTCAGGAAGTGGCCGCCACTGTGTTTAGGTGAGGCTGCTGCTGCTGCTGCTGTACGACAACATGTTTTCCGCTCGTAGTCAACAACTTGGTGTGAGGAGGTGCGGTAGCGATGGTGGCCCAACAACGGCAATCGAGTTGCCCTAACAGGCAACAATCCGGGGAGGAGGGGTTCCCGGGGGGAGAGGGGATGTGGCCGTAACCCTTCTCCGGTGTGTCCGTTGCGGCGGATGTTGAGCAGTCAAGTGGCATACCAAGTGGCAACACGAGCTGAACACAAAATGCTTGTGTGTATGATGTGTGAAACAGGGGGGTGTATCTTCGCCCGTGGCAGCTACCCTGCGAAACCCTGCCTTCCCCGGTATTTTGGGGCACCCTCATCCAGTCACCCTAGTCAACTTCTCAGTGGATCGCTCAGGTTCCGCACCCACCACCAGCATCCAACGGAATGTGTGTATGTATGTGCGTTTTGTGGTATGGCAGATTCACCACCTTGAGGTGAAACTTAGAAGCGTGCGTCTGTATGTATGTATGTATGTATTTCATTCTGTCTTTATGCATATGCATTGCGATATGAGGGGACATTTTGACTTTGAGCTCTGTTTATGCGGTACGGCTGTGTCGTGCGGTTGGGAACTAGGCTTTGCATGTCCGCACATGTACGTATGTGCATGTCTATGACTTGAGTGTCTTGACTTGAACCACTCAAGTCATAGACGTGCGTGTGCACGCGCACGTGTGTGTGTGTGCGTCATGGTCGAGGTCTTCACCCCTCCCGCCCGTGTTTGTTCCCACTCGTGCCTTTGCTCTCATTGCTACCATGTGGGGTATCGTACGGCACCCACGGACCAGCTAACGACCCCCCCCCTCACACCCACACACTCTTATGCAGGTACCTGGCGCTGTTGCGGCGGCCGGGGGGCGTGTGTGCGCGCATCTGGGAGGAGGTGGGGGAGGGGGAGGGGGAGGGGGAGGAGGTGGGGGAGAGGGTATTTCCCGGAAGGGGAAGAGGAGGGGCAAGGGGAAGGGGAAGAGGGCAGTCAATGGCGGCAAAGGTATCCAAGTTGCATCAACTGTCAAAGTCCAGTTGATCCATCTCCAAGCAAGCTCTCCACCCCTCCGCCCCTCCCTCCGGTATGTCGTGTTTTGCCAACCTGCCACGCCACCCGTCACACCACCACACCAGGTTCGGGGGCTCGCTCAACTCCAGTTCGACACTCGCGACCGCTCCAAGCCCCTCACCTACTGCACCTCCCTGGCGAGTGGACTGCAGCTCTACCCGGAAAAGGTACGACAGGTCGTATTGCCGTAAGTTACATTCGCTCGTACAATCTAATTGCCGTAAGTTTTATTCGCTCGTACATAAGTTAAACGAGTATGCAAAATTTAATGGCCGTACGTTTCGTGCCGTATACGCTATGTAGGAGGGGTACATTGTATGGGTGCCCCTGGGGGATGTGGAAGGTGGGGTTTCACTTTTTTGAAATGTTTTGAATTTGAATCGGACCCGAGCCAAGAGCGCTATCCCGCTTCCGGGGATATGCTTGGCCGGTTTCCCCCCGACAATAACACATACACATAAATACATACATGCCTCGTGCACTCGTCGCATTCCCCGTCGCGTTTTCCCGTATCGTGCCGTGCGTTGTGAGATGCGTCGTCGTTGCCTGACGTGGTGGGGAGGGGTGTAGGGGGAGGGGAGGGGAAGTAAAACTCCATGGAGAGAGAAGAGGTGTGAACGAGGAGTACGGAGGAGGGATGGGAAGGGGAAAAGACGTCGGTTCCGATCCAAATTCAAAGAATTTAAAAAAATGAGACCCCACCTGTAGTAGCTGGCACACAGTACGGCACACATAACCCCTACAATACGCGCGTAGCACGACCGCCAGCATCTCGAGAGGCCTTTTCAGCGGCGGCCAGCTACTACCCCTTCCACATCCCCCGGGGCCACAACACCCCCCCCACACACACACACACGGAGCCACACCGACTGACCCACACGACCCGGCCCGGTTCCCCCAGGATTTGCTGCCGGCCGTGTACGGCGTCCCCCGGGAGTTCTCCCCCTCCCGCATCCGTGAGGCCCTGGAGCTGCTCACCCCCGAGCGGGTGAGGGCCCTATGGATCAGCAAAGTACACAACACCACGAACAACACCACGACGGCAGCTGCAACGGCAGCTGTGCCAAGAGCGGCAGCGCAAGAGGGCGTAACGGCGCAAGCGGCGGCTTCCTCGCCGGCTTTGGGGCCGGAGGCAGCAGCAGCAGCAGCAGCAGCAGTAGCAGCGGGGGGAGAGGAGCAGCAGCAGCAGCAGGGGACGTCACCCGGTAGGAATGATGGTACGGCATCTGGTTGTACGGAGGCGGGGGATGTGGCTAACAATGCAGCGCCTGTGGGGAGACCGGAGGAAGAGCTGCTCACGGAGCCTGTGTACGGCACGCGGTACGGCATCAGCCCTTTACCTGCCGACTGGTTGTCTGCATGGCTGGCGGCTCAGCCCGAGGACGAGCCGAAGTGGGTTTGGAATACGGAGGGGCAAAGAGGGGTACGGGCTCTGATCGCGTGTATCGACGGAAGGTAGCCGTGGATAGGTTAGGGGGTTGGCCATGTGGGTATGTGTGTATGTGTGTACGTATGCATGTATGTCGTACACACTTACATGAAGAAAGAGGGTGTAAGGGGTAGGGGTAGAGGCAGGGGGTGATGTCACCGTATGTTCACTGTTTCCACAGCGGTGAGGTGAGTTGCGCCTGCGGGGCGGATAGGGGCCCTCGGCAGGGGCGCCCGGCAGGTCTTCCTTTCCCATGCAGCTCCCGTACTGAAGCCGTACAATCCTTCTTTACACAATGCGTGTGTTTTGTGGCCTCAGCCCAGGGCCCCCCTCCCCCTCCAACCCCTAACTCCGGAAGCACCACGGCACCAGGCTATCCCAACTTTAACAACAACGTCGTGGTGTCAGGCTAGCGACACACACACACACACACACACGCACGCACACACACACACACACACACAGGAACCTCCGCACCGCCCCCTACCCCACCCACCCCCCTTCTTGCCCCACCCACCTGGGATGTACCGGCAGACCTTGGTGCAGCAGCGCTGCCTCCCGCATCGCATATACATATGGACATACATATCAACATATAACAACTCAAATACATTCGTGCATTCGAATACCCCCATCTAGCAGCCCTCATCCGCAGCCTGCCAATGCGGTGCATGTGTCCCTCCCTCCCGGCACATGCAGGCTGCACCTGCCCGCCCCGAACCGCTTCATCCCCACGGACCTCTCTCTGGCGGATGACGAGGCGAGCGCGGGCCCCTCGGAGCCCGTGGTGGCGGCGGCGGTACCCGGCAGGCTGAGACTGTGGCACAAACCCGACACGCGCTTCCGCCAGCCCAAGGCAGTACTGTACCTCGATGTCATGGTACGTACTTACGTACATACGTACATGTGTACGGCAGGTTGTTGGCGGGCTGTGATGGTGGCAGCTGCAGGAGTGCATACGGATTGCCTACCACCTCATCTGGGCTTTGGACAGGGGGCCCCCTGTTGAAAGCCCCAGGGAGTTGGTATAGGGGTAGCCCGGGTGTCTTGGGAGGTAGATAGGTAGTTGGGGGTTCCATCTTCCATGTGCGTGTGTATCGTATGTATGTGTGAGGGGGAGGTGGTGCTTATGGAAGGGGATGGTACGGCAATAACGGTGCGGAATGTTTCAATGTCCCAGGTCTGCAATATAGTGTTGTAATACTGCCGTCGTGTGTGTGTGTGTGTGTGTGTGTGTGTGTGTGTGCATCCTTTCGAGCCCCATACCCCGGCTTCCCACGACCCTCGACCTTTTTTACTCGTTCACAGAGCCCGGAGGCGTACGGCAGCCCCCGTGCGGCGGTCATGACAAGGTGTGTTTGGGTCGGGGGGTGGGGTGGGGGGTCCGGGGGGAAACGTCTGGTCGGTCCGAAGGCCCCTAGCTATCTGCGCGTTGGATGCAGCTGAAGGGTGCTATCGTGTACTGGTCCCACCTGGTTGGG